AACTGTCACTCAGCTTCTTTTCATTTCAGAAACTCAAATAAGCGCCATTGTTTTATGTGATATTCCCCTATCTCTTCCTATTATTAGATTCCATTTTAGTTCTATTTAGTATTATAGGTTGTTTTATTTTACTCCATCTTATCCACAATGTAAGTTCCTAACAGAAAAATGGCTTCGTCCAAAAATCATTAGTGTTTAGTTGTCAATTTTGTCCCTTCAACTAATAATTAATTGTAATTTTTTGTATTTTTCTTTTTTCCCTTTTGTAATCCCATTTAATATGATAAACTTAAAAAAAAAGTTAACTTTGAAATAGATTTAATGAGGGAGTAACATTATTTTTAGTTTGGATGAATTAGTTAAAATGACCTATATTGTGGATCAGAATAAGTATATTTTATCAAAATTAAAAAGAATAAAAAATCTCATTAATTTTATTTTAAAATCTAATATTTTTTTAATTTTACTCTTACTTAATATATATGCATTTTAAGAAAAATAATAGTTTTCAAGTAATAATCGAAAGGTAGGATTATATATTTATTTAAAAAATTAATGATGTCATTTATAACAAGACAAAAATTTTTTAGCTCCGACTTATAAATAGGATCATATGAGTATTTTAAATAACCTTATCAGACCATCAAAAGTAACTACAGGAAGTTAAGTTATTAAATTTTCTTAGATATACAAAAAATGAAATTTTTTATATCCAAGGTCATGAATTATATCTTGAAAAGTTTTTTAAAAAATTGTATTGAGTTTGAAGTAACTCATCTTGTTATACTTGAATAACTCATTTTTTTTAAACTTGAATTTCTGAAATATTTTCATCTAAAGATCCCAACATGTTATACATGGGAAAAGCTAACGCAAAAATATACCCCATTAGGCTAGATGGTGGAAACTCTATAAATGAGAATGGTTCATGTACAAAGGTCACGTCTTAAATCAAAATTTCAAAAATAAAAAACTCCTGAATCTAACCACACACAAAAAAAGAAAAATAAATTAAAAAAAGGACAATGAAATATGGTTAATCGGAGCTTTAGGAAGTAATGGCGTGCAGCTCATTGAGTTACGTTGTTATTGTTAGTCCCTTCACAGAGACGCAAAGTGCTTTGGGGGCCCATGAAATCCATAACATGATTGAGGTAAACCAATTCTATTTCAAGAAGCTTTAAATTAAACAAAATTATTTTCTGGTAAAAAAAAAATCAAACAAAATTATTTTATAGATATTTATCTGTTATCTCGATTTTTAATATAATATTTATGTATTTTTTCTCGCAATTAAATCTTTTAATTTAACCTGTTACCAGTGTTTATACATGAAACTTTATTCCCTTAGCAACGTTAGCGTGCTAGTGCAAGGGTTAATAATGTTAGCAGAACAAAATTAAATATTTAATTAAAATATAAAAACACACAGGTGTCAAATTAAAAATTAAGAAAAAGATAGAAGTTTTGAAAACTATATTTTCTTAACAAATATTATATTATTATGAATGTCCGAATATTTAGATGTCCCTGTCTTAGCACCAATATAGATCCCCGTGACTACTTAAAACATATGAATTTAGAAAAATTTAATTCTATAATAATATAACCTGAATAAGAAAACATGGATCAAGATATCCTTTTTTATAACCAACATCGCTCAGCATAAATAATTGTTTTTTTATATCTGAAGATCTTTTTAAAAAATAAATTAAGGCACCCATGCAGGTGTATGATTGCAGTGTACCCCAATCTAACTACTAATTACATAACGAACTCATGCCCATGGGGTTCTGTGTAACCACGCGTCCACGCCTGGTTTAAAAAGGTGTATTTACTGTCGGTGCATGCCTGGGTTATTTTATCATTACCACCATCCCCCTCCTGCGTATTTTTCTTTTCCATACATTTTTTTTTTTGGACTGAAAAATTTTATATGATTGGACCAAAAAGAACTTGTTGCAGGCCAGCTCAGCACCATCGGTTTGATTCCTTTTTTCTTTTTTTTTTTCCTCGCCATCTGATTTATAATTCATTAGTAGGATAAGTTAAATTCAGCTTTTAAGTTGGGAAACAAAAACGTAATTTTCATGCATCGTTTTCACAAATTATTTGATTATTTTTTATCCAAAATAATAATAATAATAATAATAATTTGATTTGACGGTATCTTTTGCTTCAAGAGCTGGCATTGGTCATGCATGCGAGAGAGTTCCCCAGGTATCCCCAATCAAAACAGAGCGAAGTAAAGCAATAGGAATGGCCCCATAAGGGCCAGCAACAGGAAGTCAATCAATATATGCCTTCTCGTGAACAAATCCCCAAAGAATTTGATACCATTATGTAGTTGAAGGGCATGTTTGATTTTTCATTTTTTTAATCCATGCCATGTTTGATTTTTCATAATGCAACTCCAAACAATCATTTGTTTAGAAGCAACAATTTATTACTCCTCACATGATGCAATTTTGAAATTCATTCCCTAGCTCTTGAACATGAACAGTTTTACTCTTCTGATTCTATTTACAAGATATTTTTAAATATAGACTAAGAACTATATTAACTTTCTATTAAAATATACTAATTTTTTAACTTTACTCCTATTTAATATATACACCTTTCAAAAAATATAGTTATTTACACTATAACAAATAAAGAACAAAATAATACATTCACATTAAAAATTTAATGAAATGACTTATAAATAGAACAAAAAAATCTTTCTTTTTTTATCCTATAAATAGGACCAAGGGAATATGTACTTAACATGTCTTCTAAGTGTTTGTCACACAAAACTTTTTTTTTTTGGGTGATACTTAAATATAAAAATCAGATAATTAATTCACACATATTAAAAAATTAGTTAATTATTCATGTTGGAAACGATGATAGAAATACTCTTTAAGATGTGTGATCAAAATGAAAAAAAAAATTATAAATCTAAATGTTACATTTAAAAATAAAACAGGTCTCTAATCAACTTATAGATTAAAAAAAACAGGGGAGACAGTGTTTGATGTGAAAAAAAAAAGGGGTAGTTTATTTTGAAGTGTTGAAATGACCTTTTTAGATACACTAAGGTCCCGTTTGGTACGAAGCATTAAAAATGAGAGATAGGGATTGAGATTGGTGGTGTACAACTATATTAAAAAAGTGTTTAGTATGAAAAATTGTATGATACTTGGGATTAGACAAATCCATATATGTGGGATTGAGAAATATCATCAGAGGAGGTGTTATTCTTCAATTCTATCTACACGAGATTGCCTAATCCCATGTGATAAGAAATCACTCATGTAAGTATCCTTTTAACATATATTTTCAATTACAATCCTAATTTTTATCTCTCATTTTTAATACTCCGTACCAAACGTAATCTAAATACCTTGTGTTATGACAAAAGCGCATTAGCAGTGTGTGCACCACTTGGAACGCATTGAAATCGTATGAAGTTGGATAAGAGAATTTTTACTTCAATAGCCATTACATAATTAATAAATATTTAAATCTTACGTGGTGGCCATTCATTTTGCTTTAGCGTGATGCTCTGCTTTGATTATTCTCAAAGCGCCGATAAAATTATGCAAAGTTCAAGTGGTTGGAGACGAACTGAGTAAACAAAATATATATACTCTTTCGGTCTTTAATATAGGACTCAATTGTTGAGTTAATTTTGATTATAAATATAAGAGTCATTTCTCATATTTATCAATTTTTTCTAAATTACCCCTATGAATACTTCCTCAACTATAATCAAGTAGAAGAGGAAGAGTGGTATTAAGAAAGATGATTATGGTATTTTAGGAAAAACATGTCACATTTCTCATAATTAATTAACTTGTCTAACTTTTTTAATTTAATCAAATTTATTAAATGAGTCTTATATTAAGAACCGGAAGAGTATTTATTATGAAATACATTCATCTCCGTTTCCATATGCTACCATTGCGAAGCTCAGTGGGATGGTAGGACCCTCGCGTGCCAATACGATTTAGTGATTTACTTTCTGTCTCCATGAAGTCATGAACCATCTTTTTTAGTTGATACGGTAGGTAAAACCTAATTAACCACCCTTTAACTAAATTTTATTGGCCCCGTACGCACATACTTCCTTCCTTCCCCCCCCCCCCAATGTGGAAGTTAATTATTTAGATTTAATTCTAAATTTTATTATTTTCACCTAAAGTAATTTACTTAATTTATAAACTGATATATAATTTAACGGTACATATGAGTATGCTAAAAATATACATTCATTACAATTAATTAATTTATTTATTTTTTTAATTTACACAAATTAGTTAAATATATCTTATATTTAAAATTTGAGAAAGTATTACGTACCCACACAAATAGCTCTAATAATATTAGTCTTTTTTTTTAGGTGGAACGAAGGTATCCTCAAATTATATTGAATTTGAGACTACTTTTTTAGATAAGAACAGGTTAAAAAATAGCGCTTCTAATAAATACATTTTTCAAGATTTAAATTGTATTCTTCTTTTAAAGGTAAGACGACTACCACCTCAACTGTTAATTGCTTGAGTAACATTAGTCTTCTTTTTGCCAAAAAGGAAAAGCAACATTAGATTCAAGTAAAACGTAATTACGGTGATTGAGAATCTCCTAAAGGATTGACCACTAAATGTATTTCATTTTAGTTATTCAGTTATTCTTATGACATGAGCTAGTCCGGATGAAGTGAAGCTATCTTCGCAATCTTTAAATGTGAAAAGATTCTAATATTCTACCATCATTCAGGCCTCGTTTACCGGCCAGAACTTTATTTTTTTGCCCTCGTAGCCGAAACTACCCAATTAAATCCCGTAAAACCAGCAATCACACAGCATCATGGTCCCATCTGTTTATTTATTTATCTATTTATTTACTTTTTCGGTCCCAATATATTTATTAATTATTTTATTTAAATTTCGCTGTTTAGCGGTTCCCTCCTTTCTCTTTATATATACCCCTTTCCCTCCTTCACACTTCTCACACCACTCTTCACCTCACAACCACACACACATTCCTCTGTTTCAAAATGACTCCTACCTTCTTCTTCCTCTGTTTTCTCCTCATCCCAACCCTCATTTCCTCTTCCCCTTTCCACGACCCTGAATCCATCGTCCAAGAGGTCAATAGGTAGCTACCGATTCTACTTCGCATCCTCTTTTCACAACTTCATCGAGTATTTTCTTGTTTGGTAAGTAACGATGACTAATGTGCCACATTCTGTGAATTTTTTTTCTCGTTTTCCAGGAAAATCAATGCCTCGGTCGCTAGGCGGAATTTAGGTTACCTGTCGTGTGGGACTGGCAACCCTATCGACGATTGCTGGAGGTGCGATCCAAATTGGGAGAAGAACAGGCAGAGGCTGGCTGATTGTGCTATAGGGTTCGGGAAGAACGCCATTGGCGGGAGAAACGGTAGGATTTACGTGGTGACCGACGCCGGCGACGACGATCCGGTGAATCCCCGGCCGGGTACTCTCCGGTACGCCGTCGTTCAAGACGAGCCGTTGTGGATTATTTTCGCGAGGGACATGGTGATTCAGTTGAAGGAGGAGCTGATCATGAATTCCTTCAAGACCATCGATGGACGAGGCGCGAGCGTGCACATTGCGGGTGGGCCCTGCATAACGATCCAGTACGTAACCAACATTATAATTCATGGAATTCACATACACGACTGCAAGCAGGGAGGGAACGCTATGGTGAGGAGCTCCCCACGGCACTACGGCTGGAGAACCGTATCGGACGGCGACGGCGTTTCAATCTTCGGAGGAAGCCACGTGTGGGTAGATCACTGCTCGTTGTCGAATTGTAAGGATGGTTTGATCGATGCTATTATGGGGTCCAGCGCCATAACCATTTCCAACAATCACATGACGCACCATGATAAGGTCATGCTACTGGGTCATAGCGATTCTTATACGCAAGACAAGAACATGCAAGTCACCATCGCTTTTAACCACTTTGGAGAAGGCCTCGTTCAAAGAATGCCGAGGTATACCATAACTAATAGTGATCTTATATGTGGTGTTTTATATGTTCACAGAGTAGACGAAATTCACCATATATATAGCGAGTTTTTCACATTTGGAAAAGATTCAATTACAATGATTTCAATGAGTTTTTTTTTGGGGGGGGGTAGTTCTTAGCGAGAATAACAATATGTTGAAGGAACAATTAAAGGGTCACTAAGCAGTGGAAAAAGGCAGCATTAGGGTAAAGGATAGGAGAATAAGGGAAAGTGAAAAAGTGAGGAGGATATAAAGAAAAGGAATGGAGGGTGTTAATTTTGTCTAGACATGATATTTACTGAGCTTCAAGTTTAGGTGGGGTCCTGCTAAAATTTGAAAGAGACTTTAAATGGTTTGTTATATGTATGGAGCAGATGCAGACTTGGATACTTCCATGTGGTGAACAATGACTACACTCACTGGGAAATGTATGCCATTGGAGGAAGCGCTAACCCTACCATCAATAGCCAAGGCAACAGATTCGCGGCACCCGATAACAGATTCAGCAAAGAGGTATTTATTTATTCATTTATATTATTTAATGTTTAAAACTTTTTCCTGAAATTAGTGGTGTTTGAAATGGAGACGCTAATGGTCAATGGGGGGAACATTGTTAATGTGAAATAGGTGACAAAGCATGAGGATGCCCCAGAGAGCGAATGGAGGGGCTGGAATTGGAGATCAGAAGGGGACTTGTTGCTAAACGGTGCGTTTTTCAGATCATCAGGTGCTGGAGCCTCCTCTAGCTACGCAAGGGCTTCTAGCTTGAGTGCCAGACCATCTTCTCTTGTGGGTCCCCTCACCTCCGGTGCTGGCACCCTCACCTGCAGAAAGGGTTCGCGCTGCTGATCATTATCACATAAAAGAAAAGAGAGGGAATTCAACAAGAAGTTATATCTCTAGGATTGACTCCAATTCCCTCCATTCTTTTTTTTTTTTTTGGTTTTCCCTTAATGTTTTCTAGATTGCTTTTCTTTTGCAATGTTTGTTTGCTTTGATTTGCTCTGTAATGTCTCAAGATTACAACCTCGGCCTGTGACTCTTAGATCCAAATCATCTGGGGGAAGTTAATGATGGTCTAAGAGGAAACAAGTGCAGAAGAGTTGATACTAATATCAATGTACTACCAATACACGAAATTACATATATTTGTAGATGCATGAAATCTCTGTTCTCAATTCTGATTCAGCTTTTCACTCTGGCTATGGCTGTCACCGACACATGCGCTGACACAAAAGTAGAGCCCTTCACTGAGACTGTAAAAGGCAGCTCCTATGATGGAAAACATCAAAACAAAACAAATCTTGGAATCACATCCCATCAATCAATCAAAGTTACTACAGGTTTATTTAACAATTAAAAAAAAAAAACCCAGCTACCGAATAACTGTTAACGAATGGGACAGGAGGAAATAGGCACAATAGGTGTACGAGTGCCGCATGTTACTGCCTTATTGGTATTTCTCGTAACCCCCCAAGCCCCAACTTTATTGGCGATTCAATTGGATTTGGAGGGAGAATGCCACAGGAGGGAGAAAAAGCACCCTGCTGTAGGCCACAGCATATAAAGTTAAGTTAAAAAGAGCTAATGGGTGGATTCCGCGTTGTATAAAAGGACGCAATTTATACTTTTTAGGCTTTTAGCTAGGCGTTTGACCGCCACGAGCACTTGCTTCCAGCAGTGGACGAGGCAGTAAATGATAAAAATTGGTCTCTTCCCATAAAAATATTTTTATTTTTCCCAAGACAGGCGGAAAAGACTTCAAGAGAAGGTGAGATCTTGAAATTTATTGCTCTTCCATTGCTGCACTCCACTGGCACTTGCACCTTCATGTCCCAAGGTCTCTAATTGCCTTACACAGAGCCCAAAACACCGCCTTTTAATTTGTTTTTGTTGACTAACTAAAATGTTTGAAAATGGAACTCCCTGCCTTCTTCAACAACGTGATCTTGTCTAAAAAAATCAGAGGGGTAAATAATCGATGCAAAAGGCCAATAACGCAAGGATAAGGTTCATGTCTAAGGGCATTGTTGAAATTCTCACATCCCAATAAGATGCTGCGTGTAAAATTTGCCACCTCATCTCCACTCTTTGTTTGCCTCCCAGGAGAGGTTGATTAGAGTTAGAACTAGTACATGTGTTTGTCTTTGTTCTAAATACAAAAGAAATTACAATATAAGGGATAAGCAAATACTACATTAGTTTTTAATATAACAACTAAATAATTACTCTTCTGGTTTTATTTATAGGTCACTTACATTATGTTTTATACAAACTAAGAAAAACCTTAAATTTCATTAATTCTTATTTAAAATTCAACAACTTTCTAATTTTATCTGTATTTAATATGCATTATACCTCATGTAAATAAAATCAATATAATAATAAATAAGGGATAAAATTATACATTTATATGAAAAATTTCTCTCAGTTTCTTATAAATAAAACAAAAAAAGGTCTTCTCTCTATCATGTAAATAGGACTAGAGGAGTAATTTAGGAATACTATAATGGGATTAACTCAAATTATTTATTTGTAATGAGTATATGTTTACTTTTCTAAACTATCATATTCAATCATATACATTAAGACAATCTCTTATTGAAAACCCTTAATATGTATAATCAATTTTTATTTTTGTTTTTTTAATATACAGGAAAGTTAGTGTTATAATGTCTAGTAAAAAATAAAATCGTTTCCATTTGCATAAGGAGTTGATTATATGACAGCAGCAACAAGTGCAGGAGTCATATTCATATTAAGAAACTTGACAAAGAAACCGCTGAAAAAAAAAAGGAAGCTGAAAAAGGAAGCAGAGCGGGATGCTCCAGGCGTTTCGGGGCTAAGCTGTGAAGTGTGAGGAGGGGGACCCACGTGGGAAAGGAAAAAGAAAGGCAGCACATGGGGGGGGGGGGTCGAAGGAAGTGGGATGTTATTGCTTCCTCAATCCCAAATTCAATTGCGTTACACCAAACCCAAACACACCATCTTTCGTCTTTGTTGACTAATCTCGTGTTTGAAAAATGAAACTCCCTCTCACCTTCTCAAACAACGTGATTTTGTCCAAACATGTTACCATTATCATCAGACGCATCACCAATCGATGCAAAATAACCATAACACACCAACAACAACATGGTGCTCCTAAAATTTGCCACCTAATCTCCACTCGTTGACTGCTCCCCAACACACCCTGGACAAATCAAATTTTATCTCTGATTCTTAATATAATAACTAATTAGAAAGTTAGGTCTAATCATGAATTTAAAAAAAAACTTAATTCATTATATCTCTTATATTCATTATCATTTCTCCAAACTAAATTATAAAATGACATATAACCTAATGTTATACTGTGATCATGTTATGTTTATTATAATTAATTTGTTTGACTTTCTCAATCTATTACTAAGTACTCCTCTGGTCCTATTTATAATGTATTTACAGCATGTTTCGCATAGATTAAGAAAAATCTTAAACTTATCACCAAAAAAAAAAACCTTAAACTTCATTAACTCTTATTTAAAATTTAATAATTTTTAACTTTATCTCTATCTAATATATATTATACTCCTTCCGGTTCAAAATATAAGCTAAATTTTATCTATTTACGTTTATCAAGAAACTAATTAAAATCAATTTAAAATAATAAATATGTAAGGCATATATTTATTTTTTTCAAATGTGCCCTTATTAATAAGGAGAATAGGTAAAAGATACAATAAATGAATCAAAAGGGAAAGATAATATATGGAGGGTAAAATTAGAAAAAACTCATTAAATGTTAACACGAAAGTGAATATTATTTTATAAAAAAAAACCAAACCCCTCCAACAAAGTTCAGCTTAGATTTTAAACTAGAGGGAGTACTTCATGTAAACAAAGTTAGCACAATAGTAAATAAGGGGATAAAATTATACATTCATACAAAAAATTTCTCTCAGTGTCTTATAAATAGGACCAGAAAAACATCTTCTCTCTCTGTTTTATAAATAGGACCAGAAGAGTAGCTATTATATTAAAAAAGAAAGGGAGTATCAAATTTGTTTCAACAAATCTAGGGATTCTGTATATGAAGTTTTCACATGGGTGGACCTTTTGACAAATATTCTTGAGTAAAGATTCATCGGACGGGGACCCTGATCTTCTTTGCTCTCGAGGGCCTATTGGGCCTGTAAAATAACAATAAAACTGGGCCTTTTTAATGGAATCTGTTAGCCCAGGTTGCCACTGATGACGTCATAACATAGAAAAACTCGTTTTGCATTCATGAGTTGGAAGGAAGCTGAGCCCAAATGGCCCAAGGTGGTCAACAGCTTGCATTTTGACTTGGCCAACCTGACGCGTGAATTAAATATGAATCACAGGGTTGGTGAAAGGGCGTGTTCATCACTTCATTTAGCTACGCGTAGAAAAAAATAGGAATCGCCTGTAGGGATGAACCTGACCGGGAATGTCCGCCCGGTTCGTTCCTCCATTTCACTGCTTCATCGCTCTCCAATCATCTCTCTTTCGCTATTTAAATATTGCTCTTCTTCCTCCTTGTGTTAATTTAACGCTGTGTCAATGGCCACAAGTGCTCACAACCTTGCTTTGGATCCGGATCTGGATTCTCCTGACAACCCTACTCACGAGTTCGCTCAGTTCGGCGCTGGTTGCTTCTGGGGAGTGGAGCTCGCCTTTCAGCGACTCGCTGGCGTCGTCAAAACCGAGGCCGGATACTCTCAAGGTCATATTCCCGATCCTAACTACAAATTGATATGTTCCGGAACCACTAATCACGTAGAGGTTGTTCGGGTTCAGTTTGACCCGCAAGTGTGTTCCTACACTGATCTTCTCTCTCTCTTTTGGTCTCGTCACAATCCCACCACTATCAATCGCCAAGTACTCTCCTCTCTAATCTCTCTACGTTTCTCTTGTTAGTTTGATTGATTCCTTTGGTTCTAAGTAAAGTGTTTTTGTGGATGTCCTCAGATTTTTTGTTGAGTTGACTTTTTAGACCTTGTGATTATCAATTATAATGCTATTCATTGTTTTCTTTATGCAACATGTGTAAAATACAAACATCCCGAACTATCAAATTTTTGTAAATAATTTCGTGTTATCGTTTGTTTAACTAACAATATTTGAAACTAGATTTCAAGATTATTTACAGTACTTAAAGCGTGTTTATTGAGTTGTTGCCTGTTTGCGTGTAACTCCCTAGTTTATGAAAAAAATATTTTCTCAGAAAACACAGTTTTTTTTTAATCACAATATGTAGAATGAAAGAATGAGTGAACTAATATTTATCTTTATAACTTTTTACAAGTAATTTATTATTACATTTTGAAGATTGGAGAAGACGCATGCATATGACTTAATAAGTCAACAATTATGAACCAATAAAGAGGTTAATGAGCTGATGGTTAAATTTATATTGTAAAGATGCAAGGGCTTTGCATAGATACGATTGATTATATTTATGGTCGGAATAAAGAAAAAGCATCCTTAGTTTGAAATGGACAATATGACATGTTCTGAGGTTTTACATTTTTCAATTGGATTATTATTCATTAAAATGCACATCTATCTGTAGGGGAATGACGTGGGAACACAATATAGGTCAGGGATATACTACTACAATGAAACTCAGGCTGGTTTAGCAGAGGAATCAAAGGAAGCAAAACAACGGGAACTGAATGTGAAGGTAGTGACAGAGATTCTTCCGGCGAAGAGATTTTACAGAGCAGAGGAATACCACCAACAATATCTGGAGAAAGGTGGCCGTAATGGCCTCAAACAATCTGCAGACAAAGGATGCACTGATCCCATCAGATGCTATGGGTGAATGTTGATCACCCGCCATTTTCATCATCACCGTCTTCTGCCTGCTATATATCTATGCCAACTTGTCTCTACTGTTCAAAAATAAATAAAACAAACTTCTTCGCTTCATGAATTAATAGGATTCTCTAAACTACCTTATGGTCAAGTTAGAATTTAGGAAGAGATATGAAACTCACGGATGCAGAGATGGTACACACCATTCTATTGCTATCTCTATGTTTGATACTTATGTATGTTATGGAATCCAGACTGAGTTCCAACAGTTTCTATTTAGAAATTGTACTTGGATATGAATAAATCTAATTACTTAGCTATTTGTCAAGAAATTATGCCTATCAAATAACTATTGGCTGCTTTGTGAACAAAGTTTTACTGTAATATTTCAAGCATTGTGGTGCATGAAGTTTTATACTTTTCCAAATGTAATATCAAAGACAAGTTTGTAAAGCCTCGTCACCCTATAAAGAAAACATTCTTAGTGTAGTATTTCCAGGACACTCATACTTAGTATGTGGTCCTGTACTGTTAAAAGATAAGATGGCGAGAGAATATTGCTGAGTAAATGATAATTATGTTCTAGAATCTCATTGCAAAGATATTAAGGCTATGGAATGTAGCTAACAGGTCTGCATACAAACTGCAAGTTTTATTCCTAAATGGTAGAGACGGAGTGATCTTGATGTGTACATTAATATTAATGATAATATCATTGAAGTTACTTCTCACTTTTCCTCTGGTTTTGATGATATAAACAACAATTCAAAGCTCGTCTTTAGGAGATGATTGGCGTCCTCCTGGGTTGGTGGAGGAGTTTTTGATTGGATAAGAAGGTTCCATTGCTATGCCACAAAGTCCTTCCTCCTCAGATATAGCCCTTTGCATCCTGATGTAACCTTGCTCTCCCCATTCAGAGCCCCAAGAGTTCTTAACTATCCAATATTTGGTTCCATCAATAGTTGTTCCATAGCCCACAATAGCTACCCCATGATTCAATTGCTTCCCACAATCTCCAGTAAATACTCCCTGTAATACAAGTCAATGTTTCAAATACATCATTTCTATCTTCTTTCTGGCACTATGGTCAGGGAATTTCTTCCCAAATCGTCGAAGAAACTAGGATCTGCAATTTGCTGGTTGTTGTATCTGAGTAACTTTAAGGAAATAAACTGAAATTTACCTCTGAGTAGAATTGGAAATCAGATCCTCCAGCATCTATGGCTACTGATACAGGCTGGTTGGCAGCAGCTTTGAGCAATGAATGCTCATCATTTTGGGGGACATTCTCATAACCATCAATTGACACTGCTGGATGCTTCTCCTGCGATATTATTAATTGTTAATGAGCTTTTTAGCATCTTAAAAAGTCAGTTAAATTTGGTTGAAATCAATTACAACATAGTATGCCACCTTTGATACATCGCAGGTTTCATCTTCGGCTTTATAGGGGTAATTGCTTTCCGTTGTCAATCCCCCAATTCGCTTGATGAACTCATAGGCATATTCCATTAGTCCTCCATTGCATCCTTCATTTTGTTCAGTGTCACAGTCTACCAACTCCTGCTCAGACAATGAGATTAGCTTCTTTGTTTTGATCTGATTAATACCTTCCACAGCTGCAACAGCTGAAAACGCCCAACAACTACCTGCACAAAACATTAGTGCAGATAATTTAACATGTTCTTGTCATACTAAGGACTATATATATATATATATATATATATATATATATATAGAAAAAGCAAATGGTCCTATAATGCGTTTGTATGATTACATTTATATATTTTATTCGTTGTTCAATTCGTTTACCAAGCATTTACATGAATATTTTGCTTACCACATTGGCCTTGATCTTTTACAGCAGTGACAGCACCTTTTTTCCTCCAATCAACTGAAGGAGGAACTCTATCAACTTTCTCGTACATGAAGGTTCCATTCCCACGGGGCGTGCCACGGAACATTCTATGGTGGTTGACCTTTGAGGCAGCATAGGCATTCTGGAACTCATGGTTGGTCATGTCGGCAAACCTGTTCAACTTGAGCTTGTAGGGCTTATCCATCTTGTTGGTGTTATGAACATGGATCGCATTGGCTTTGAACACATTGAAGCGTCTGTGTTTCTCATTTAGGCTTCGAGAAACAGTGTGATGGCTCCTCCATCTCTCGTACAAGTCCCACAAACTTTCCTCTGATTCCAGATCTTTCTCATGCAAATCAAAGCTCTCAGTGACTCCCAGAACTAGTGCTAGTAATATAGCAACACCTAAGAACCTCTTCACTTCCATATTTCTTGGAATTAGATTCAGTGAAAGATGAGAAGAATAGAGCAATTGGGGATGCTATATATAAGGGTATAAAGGGGGAGAGGGATGAGAAATAATTCTATTAAATGATAATTGGGGTTATTACAGGTTACTTGTAAGCTTCAACAATATATGTAATAACCTGATGATTGTAGAAAAGAAAGGATGCATGTAGGTTGCTTATTTGCTGAAACAAATGAATCAAATAAATATCAAATAATCTTTATCTAGATGTGCAGTTATTACAGGTTAGATTCAGTGAAAGATGAGAAGAATAGAGCAATTGGGGATGCTATATATAAGGGTATAAAGGGGGAGAGGGATGAGAAATAATCCTATTAAATGATAACTGGGGTTATTACAGGTTACTTGTAAGCTTCAACAATATATGTAATAACCTGATGATTGTAGAAAAGAAAGGATGCATGTAGGTTGCTTATTTGCTGAAACAAATGAATCAAATAAATATCAAATAATCTTTATCTAGGTGTGCAGTTATTTGTTAACCATTCATATTATTTGCTAACTTTTCACGTCAGAGAAAGTTGCTCTTGGCAGAGCAATTACATTAATGGAACGGAATTTCTAAGGACCAAGTTCTTCCCCTTCACGCTAATAATATTATGTACGTTCCAGAGATGAGAGTTAGGCAGGGAAAGTGGGTGAGGAGCATGGTTCCTTCTGGCCATATCCATTATGAGTATAGTAGCAATTGGAGTGAAACATTTTGATATCCAGAACTGTTAACTGACGTGATCGCTTTTTGAGAGAGTTTGGTGCGCATGAACTCACGATCCCCACAAGATGAGCATTGAGTCCAGTTAGTTTTGCTTTCTGTATTTGCAGCTGCAACTGAAAAATAAAATAAAGTGATGTCATATAATGTCATGTTTTGAGGTTGGTTTACTTGGGATCTCTTAAGCATGAATTGATTATGAGTTCTAAGTTCTCATGATTATGTAGAAACTCTTGCCAAGTTTTGAACTTGCACTCAATCATATTTCTATATCCCTCTAGGTAATCATTTCACGTTGCTTTGGAATATGAAAGTTGGCAAGTTCATATGTGAATATTAAGCTATTCGAATCATTAAGCACTTGAATTAACTAGTAAGAGAGTTGTTCTCTCTTGACTAGAAGTCTTGAGTTTGAACTTGATAATACAATGGCGTTAAATACTCGGTGGTAGAGCTGAAAGAGTCCTATACAACTTAATTCTGATTAGTCTAGGCCCTGTGAAGTCGCTGAATTAAAATAGGAAAGCTCAAAAAGAGAGAAATGTATGGTGGGTTTTATTTAACAAGTGAGACCCATTGAAACTTTTTAATCTCTCTCTCTCTGTTTTAAAAAAAATCTTCTCTTAAAATTTTATCGTAGCATAGACGTTTTATTCGAAGGAAACGTGTATTCTTCAATCTTCATCTAATCATCTTCATAGATGAATAATTTCATGAGGAAAAGTGATTTATTCATGCGTTTGTGGCTTTATCACCATTTGAATGCATAGTGCACTGTTGCTTGAAGCTAAGGGGAAGAGTGACGTGATGAGTGGGACACCGGCCACTTGTGGAAATGACAAGAACAGAGTTACTATGCGTCGACTAAGCATATTGTTGGCTTTTGATAGAAGTAGATAAGGCTGGCCTTGTTAACCATTGTGGTCATTCCTGTAACCAAACGGAACGTTTGCACCTCCCAATTCCGTCAGAACATTCACATGTTCCATACTGCCCAAAAAAGCAAAAAAGCAAGATCTTTTCTTTTGCTTAGTCAAATATAACGATAAGATCAAAATAATTATTTAGTTAATATACCTGCTTCTTTTCAAAAAAAATTATTAGTAGATATCTGTCATCTGATGCAAAGAGGGCAACACCACGAATATGGGCCCTAAAAGGCCCATTATGAGTATAGGGTCGGAAAAGAATTTCTGCTTTTGGTGAACAGCCCGGAAAAGCTTTATGAGAGAGACCACTACAATAATTAAAACTACAAAATAAATTGCCTCCATGTAGGGGCTAGGTTGAGGTGCAGAAGAGAAAAAGATGGCAGCAGAACGAAATGGGCCCTAAAAGGCACATTATGAAAACAAGCCAGGAAAATATTTGGGAGCTGGCCCACTATAATGCTTTGAAAAGCAAACAACCTGCCCCCATGCAGGATCGAACTACAGACCTTCAGTTTACAAGACTGACGCTCTACCACTGAGCTATAGGGGCGTGCTTGAGGCGGCGATGAGAAGAATAAATAATCAAAGTTGTACAGTAATTCTGTATCAAAATCCCACCCGCTCGATCCTGACTTTCCGATTTATGAAACCGTATGCACTTCACTTTCATCCTTTCAGGCCCTAACCTGTTTCGAATTTTCTGAGTAATCTTCTAGTATCTTGATATGGAGGACGTCACTTTTGACTCTGTAAAGCCCTCCAACTTTTGCCTCCATTCTTTTTACTTCTTATTTATTGCAGTTTTCGTTCAAATATATTTGTAATTAATAACTAGTAATTCATATTCATCTTGAAATTTGCTCCCCACCAGATTCTGATTAACGCCATCTTCAAGTCCGTCTGGAGCGAAAGGGCTCTTGGTGAGAAATTCTCTTCATCTTTACTTTCATTATTCCTCTTCCTTACTTGCATCGTTCATGTCTAAGTTTTTCCTTATTTCTTTCGTTTACTGTTTTGTTTTCCCCGAATTTCCAGAGCGTGAAAAAGCTGAATTCAACGATGTTTTAGACTCAGAGGTTCAGTTCCTGTCTCAGTTTTCTTCCTTCGTATTTTGCTTCGAGCATATTTTTGGTATTGTTTTTATCATAACTTCTTGAGAATGCGGAACCTGGGAAGCCTGGAATTGTTTTTGCTGGCAGATCTGACTGTGGGGGGCCATTCTTGGCATTACTTGAATAGTTGAATGACTACTCTTCTTTCTTGTGAAAACTTGCTTCGGTTTAGCGCATTCAGGAGACAATTGAAGAGTAGGGTCTTTATGTTGCTGTTATACCACAAGGACTTGTAGTATTTGTGCTTTTGGCATATATTAAGTTTGATATTTGGATTTTTATATGTACAATCATACATTCAATTATGTCAGTGGTACTACATGCTTGATTTCAGCGGTACGAATCAATTTTATTTCATGTTATGCTATCCCTTGCTATAGTTTGAGTCAGATGTAGCTGTGACTGCTGAGTAATTCTCCCTGCTATCATGACTAGTGATCCTGTTCACCTACTTTGCATGGACATTCATATCTTTTCGAATAGCTGCAATGCAGCATTATCCTAATTCCTAAGCAAGACCTACATTCTATTTTAATTCTACATTATGTCACCTGTCTTCTTTATTCACAGAAAATCTTCTCCTTAAATGTTTTTCATGGTCTATAATCTCCGACTGAATTTTGATGCCACAGGCAGGAGCTGGATCATCCAAGAAGATTAGGCCAACATCTGGTATTTATTGCATTATATCACTTTATTTATTTTTTTGTTTCATAGAGCCTGTGTAGTCACACTAGCATTGCCAGGGTACTGCAAATTGGATATAATAAAATTTTCTCGTCCATATCTTGCAATGCAGCTAATGCAAATGCGCTGAAGCTTAGCTGTGAACTTCTCCGGCTTTTTGTCACAGGTTCATCTATCTGAAAAGAGGAACACCTTTGTCCTTTTGAAAGACTTTGAATGTGGTTGACTTTGAATATATTTATCGTATGATTTTGAGTGAAGCTGTTCCATAAATCTGTTGATGCAGAAGCTATACAGAGAGCTGCTGCAATTGCAGAATCAGAGGGCACCGATCAAATAGAAGCTACTCATTTGGAGAGCATTCTTCCTCAGCTGCTTTTGGATTTTTAACGCTTGTGATGACACCTTATATACAATTTTGTCTATATTTGGTCGTCTCCGAGTATGCTGGTCGGATATTTGTAATTTGCTTAGGATTAGTATAGAATAGCTTTTGGTCTTGGAGGACTGTCAAGTCAATGCAAAGTCTCAGTAATATTGTCATCAATTCCTCCTCTATACGATATCTTTCTAGTTCCTTACTGTTTTAGTGGTCTTAAATTGGTGGAAGACAGTAAAGTAGGACAATATATGTATATGGTATATATAATAATAATAATATATATATAATATATATTTAAATTAAATGTATGATGAGCAAACGAAAGACTTGAAGCATATCATTGTAGTACTAAACTTTAACATCACTGTTTATTAGCGGCGGACTCTACTGCCCTAGTGTTAAGAACATTGAGCCCTAGAGAACTAGCAGACACAAACATCATTTCCAGTATCACAAACTATTAATACATGACAAAGACTGAACTTAATACTAAAGCCACTTCTCAATCCAATACTTAAAGAAAGCAATAATGGAAAAGTAATGCTTTCACATCGTCCCTCTGTCACCCATTTCTGAATATCGTCCATAGATGATGTGATAAGCACTTTTACTGAGAAAGAGTTCTATATTAGACATTTCCCTTTTACTCCACACAGCAACGATACATGAAGTACTTCTCCATCTGACGGCCACATTCAGCACATACAACCCTCTCCGGTATGCCTCCTGCAGTCCCAGGAAGGATAAGGCGATTACAGTGATGAGGAGTGTGAAGTTGCTCCAAATAATCCTTCAGTGCTTGCAAAAACCAACACGTTCAATACTTCCCCTCCAAGTTTCAAACTCTCTAAAGCAAGTTAAAGCTGTATCTCCCTTTGCTCTGGCCATTTCAGTGGCCCCCTGCAGAAAATTGCCCATCCCTTATCGCTTCCGTCGAAGCTTAGCACAGTCATGACTTCACCCAGAATGGGGTCATCTTCCACACTCTTCCCGTGCTGCAACTTGGAGTATAGCATGCTCTCTACTCTTGCCCAGAAGAACCAGATGGAAGTGACATTTGGCCAGAAGTAACTGAACTTTCTTGTGCCGAAGGTAGTGATCATTTTTTGCATTCTCTCTTTGGCATTACTCTTCCCCACATAAACCATCTCTAAGGGTAAACTTGCAGCTTTTGCAACAGTTGATACAGCGGTTGTGAATGCTTGAATCCAGTCAATATCTTCACTTCCATAAAGGCATACGAACTTTCCTTCTGCCATCTGGTAGAATGGGAAAAATATTAGAACTTTAACATGGGGCCTTGGAAACAATAGGGATTCATTTTACAAATCGAGTTGTTCCTCCATTAGTGGAGAGAAATAAATTAGGTAGTAAAATTTGAGTTTAAATTAGATTTGAACAGTTTAGACGATATGTATGTGCGATGTATATGATGCGATAAATAAGAAAGGCATTACGGGGAAAAAACATCCAAGTATGTTTTTACCCATTCTAGCACCGCAGGATCAATGCCATCAACAAGTAGCTCCAGGCTCCAAATCTCTGACTTCCACAAGCTTTCCTCTTTTTCGTGAGTGAATGGGAAGGCCACGTTTCCCCATATCCAGATCATGTGAATCGCATTTGGAGATGACAATCTACCTTGTGGATCTAGAGCTACCACTATAGCTTTCTTTGTGAAATTCCAAACTTCTTTGATATACTTAATCACTGCTGGTTCAATGATCATAGGATCACGCACACTGTACCAAGCCATTAATGACTGCAAATGCTCGAACTTCTTTTTGCTTGGATCATTCCAGGTTGCTCTGTTCACAACTGGGATCCATACCATTTCATAGTGTGTCTCAGGCCTAGACCTTGCATCTTTATACAAGTTGTCAAGTATTATAATCTCTTCTTGTGAAAGATCAAGATCTGATATGAGAAGTAACACATGCTTCCTCCTTAGTACCTCGAGATTAACCTGTTAGTCCAGCAAGTGAAATGTTTTTAGAACTTGAGAGCATGTATGTTAGTATTTGCAGAAGATGATACGTTTTAGAACTAACCCTTGCTCTGTTAGAACCGTCTACAAGTGGGGGTGGATCATCCTTGGCGTAGATCAGTGCTCGGAGGATTTTCATGTTGTCTACGTGAGTTGTCTTGAAAAGACCCATAAGATTATGAAATGCCTCTATGTGTCTCTTGTCATCTGCATTTGGACAGGAAAACAATTGTAAAGCTAGCTTCCTGATCAAACTCTAAAGCATGTTTGGATTAAGAAGAATGAAGGAGGAGGATCTTTTTGATCCAATCAAAACCTACATAAATGTTTTTCCACAAGATATAAATGCTAAAAAAACATTTGAAACATCTTCAATATTGGAAATATACATTACTCAAATGCGTTAGAAATCTTTATTTGTCCCATTGGTAATGATACTGACCATACATTTAGTATTTAAGAACTGTGTTCACCTAAACTTAGATTCTTATACATTCTCAGTATAGAATAATTGTCCTGCAGAGAGTTGTTTTAATTAAAACGACAATATGCTAGTTAAAAACTCACCTATATATTGATGGCAGATTTCCAATTGGTTCCTGAGGTGCTCATATATACTGCTGACTTTATAGGCCAAGCTTGATAATTCCCATGACTCTGTGGTTGGTGAAATGTACCTGTAAAGCATTTTAAAACATCAGTTATCATCTTTAAACTGAAAGAGATTGAACCAATTTGAGAGATGAAGTTGCATGGCAGGTTACTCATTTCTCAAGCCTACAAGGCTAGCAATCTGAGTGGCACAAGCCACAATGCTTCTGATAGTCCA